AAACTTTTAGTTTCTACTTAAAAACGCATTTAAGTTTTCCTAGGCAGAATAACCAAAGTATAAAAATTAAGTGTAAAATTGATGTTATAATAAGGTTCTTTTTTGACAATAATTTGGCTAGAAAACAAGGGCTGTTTCTCAGAAGATACTTCAGTCAAACCTTTATAAATAGATATTTACAGATATCCTCAATAAAAAACGAGTGCATCATCTTTGCTTTAAAAAAAATCCTATGTTAGGGTTTTTGCCCCTTTGAACCAGTGTGCGGCGGTAGTAATGCCGTCTGCTTGTCGCAGATAGAAATCGATTGGGCACAGGCGTATAATTTATCGTCCACCATAATTACCGTTGTAGTGAGGGCCCAGTTTCAATGGCCTTTTCCAGCGAAATTCGCTAAATAAGGACGTTGTAAATATGGCGAATATTGGCTCGAGACTTTTACCGGCATAGCGTGCGATGCAAATTCGGTTGTCAGGAACTCGTCGGTTGCTGGTGTTGTCGATGAATAGTTTTTTTTCCGAAGCGTTTGGTATCTGCAAATGTGAGCCAAAAAATAAATCTGGCGGTGCATGTGTACTTCGCTAAAACTGTAGCGGTGGAACTTTTTCGCTTCTCGCACGCACCATGACATCAAATCGGGTTTCGCAAGAAGGACATCAAACAGCCCACCCATGAGAAATGCAGATGATATTGGTTGCTGGAGGGTAAGTTTTCGACGTAACTATTTTTTTCAAGCCGTCAGGGAAGTGAATTTTTCGGACCTAATATTGGACCATTGAATAGCAGTTTACATGAAAATGACATCAGAGTCCTATAATAACAAATTTTTCAAGGCACTCGTTTATTAAACACTCGTGACTCACCACACTTGTTGCATAGTTCTACGACCTTAGTTTTGGGTACATTTTGGCAAAACAACACGAATACATTCACTCACATGACAGTCAGACATGACAAACATCAAAATTCAAACCTTGCGGTAAAATCTTCGAAGACATCCGATATTTTACAGAAGGAAGTAGAAAAAAGCTTTTTGCTACTTTTTTCTCTAAAATGTACAATTACACACCGATCTAGAGTGCATTGCTAGCTAATCGGGGTGCTGTTGTGGTTAAAGTTCATCTCATGTTTCCAAAGGGTACATTAAGGATTCTGTTTGAAATAAAATTTATATAGCTGACAAAATTCCAAAGTAGGCAGTTCAAAGACAGATATTTTATCACAAACTCAATATAATTTAAGCACAAAAATCTCGCATTAACAACGAGTGTTGAAATACTTTGCTTACAAATATGTAATATATAAAAATAAATAATACTAAACTTGCTATTAAACGTACAGCGTGGTCCACGTAAGATGATGAGAAACGGTAAAATCTACAAAAAAGTGTCAAAATTTCTTGTATTGACTTTTTACGTATATGATTTTTGTGTATACGGAATGTTTAGATATTTTGTTATTTTAAATAGAACACCGTGTATATGGTTACACGTTAGGAGAGTACGTTTCAAAACAAGGTCAACGATATATAATAGTTGGGACATGTGGGATTAACGTAAACTGTCATAGCCGAAGCTGATTTAAACATTTTTCAAATTTTATATAGGTCTCATAAAAGATTGAAGTTCGTGCTGCCAAATCTGAGTAAAGAAAAGTTTTAAGTGAGCAACATGCTACAATGCTGCAACTTTTCTAAAATGTTTAACTTGTTTTAAATATCGACAAATTTTGTTTTTGATATTTTATTGAATTGAACTTTGAATTAGGAGTAATGTAATATTTTTTGTCCTCGCTTACTTCATTTTTTCATAAAGTAAAAGAATCTTAGAATTGTGGAATATTTCAAAAACTATTGATTTTCGGCGTGAAGTAAGAAAATTTGTTTAGAATTGCTTAGCAAGTCCAGAAAATTGAAAATGGATGATCCATTCAAAATAGAAAATTTGAGGTTATATTCAGTAAACCCGGAAACGCAATTCAATTGTTTTTATGCTGCAAATGTTTACATTATTCTACTCTATCAACATTTATATTATTTGTATTTAAATTGAGCAATATAGGTCTAAAATAACCATTTCCTTCTACTCACTTACCAACATACTGATGGAACAATTTTTTGTGGCCAAAAATCAAAAACAGAAAACTGTTTTTTTTTGAGGTTTTAGACCTTGTTTATTATAGTTCTAAAAACAAGTTTAATACTGCTCAATTTATAAATAAAATAATTTTAATGTACTCAGGTTATGATGATGGTCAATGATTCCAAAATGTGGCATCATCGTGACATTTTCATCACATAAAAATGTGCTTTGCTGGCATAACGCGAAATAATCTTTAGTCCTTTGTTGAGTATATATAGATATATAAAGATATAAAAAATAACTTCGCTATGACAAGTTTTCCTCTCTCTGGTTTTCCATTAAAAATAACCAAAGTTTGTACCTGGCTTGAAAAAATAAAAAACATGTCCTTAATAGTCAGTACACGAAACAATTGCATTTAGCTTTTTTTGTAGATTTTATCATTTCTCAGATCGGATCATGGATCATCTTACATTGGACGTTGTAAATTTTACAATAATCATAGTATTAATTTCATACGTTGCTACATAACTAAATATGCATATATTCAAAGTTTTTTAGTAAGACACACAACCTAAAAAATCGCCCTCTATAATCAAAAGACAAGTTATCGAAAAGGGTCGATCAATTTTTTATAAATCGCGTGCTCATTAGAATCAACTTGACATGCTGGCGAAATTATGAAACCTCACAGAAACCGATAGGATCCCGCAAGACTTTCCAACTTAATTAAAATGATTGAAAGAACCCAAAAAACTAACTAGTCGCGTAAATTGAAAGTCGCACAGAACAGGAACAATGTCGATTTGAATAAATCGAGGCCGTGATCAAGATAGCTTAAATGTGTGGCGGGAAAATTTAACTTTATAAGTAGGTAACACGCGAGTTCTTTTTCTTTAAGTGCATGTAATTACAATAAAGGACTCGAGTGAATTGCCGACACGTAAATAACGTAGGTTTAAGCCATTTAATATCTCATTTCTGTGGTGAACGGCGGTTGAAGTGGAACACCAAAAATAGCAATAGTTATACAGTTTTTTCTTTTTAAATTATAAATATCGTAATATCGTGTAATGGTTCGACCAGAACTTATTAGGAGTTTATGATTTGTAATTTCGTTCAATAGATAAAATTTGTTGATTAAACATCTCACTTTGAACAAATATATAAGATACGAATATTCCATTTTAAATATATGCCTACTAGAACTCCAATATTATCGCGCTGTGTCAAGCATTCAGCAGAATTGTCCCACAAAATCAGGTTCCCCCGCCTTAGAGAAAAACGAATATAGTATGTTTTCTGAATCTTAGAGTGTAGTTCAGAAGAATCTGATTAGTTTTTTAATCCCAATTTACCTTATTTCTTACGCTATCCTATGAGAAAACGACAAGAATATCATCAGCACGCCAAGGCCCAACTGTATATTGATATTTATGTTAGAGACAGATGGCGAATTCGGCCCGTGGCTGATATATATAAATATAAATATATATAAATATAAATGGATCTGAATAACATGGATTACACATCTCGAAATGTCTATATATGCCAGAGGCCGATGTAGAACAAAAGCGATTAATTTAATAATGTTTTAGAATAAATTAGAGGGTTAACTTTTAATGTGACATTTATTCTCCATTAAAACAACTTAAACGAAAAACTGATAAACTCAAACGATGTTCTGGTTAGTTTCAAGTCTCAGTTACTGAAACTCTTAACACTATTGCAGATATCTTACAATCTGAACAGTATCCCGTGCACATGGGCAAAAAGTACATTATATAAAAATCAGTTGGGCTAAAAGATGCCTTAAGACTGCATCAAATAAACTAATCAGAATTGCTGAAAACAGTCATGAAACCGGACATCAAATCTTATTCGACCAAATCAAGAACCTTGCATTGTAATCAATTCAGCTACCAAGGAAAAATCCGAAAATCCATAGCCCCCTAAACAGTATATAAGCAGGTATAGTCCGACACAACGATAAACAGTCATGACTGTAATAACGATCTTAACGTTTTTATCTATAAAATATATATTTTGTCTATAAAAAATATACATTCTGTTGTACTGAGTACTGTATAATTGTAATTATATAAAAAAAAAATTGCGCCACCACTATTATTTGTGGTTTTAGGTTGTTCCAACTTTCTGCTACAAGCACATGATTAAGACATCCTCTCCGACTGATATCTGGTAACAATTCTCACTGAAATTTAATTACATCAATTACGTACTCGGACATTATTGCGTCTAACTTTTTTTTTAATTCGGCCCATATAATATGTATAGGATTCAAATCGCAGTGATAAGGGGTATATTGCCGGATTGTTTTGTGACTTCGTCTACTTGTCATGTCCTGATGGTAATCTAATGAGCGGTCTTTAATGTTTTTTTGTTGATAGTAGCAAAGTTTTTGGCAGTGGCAAAGTGTTACGAGCCACAGGAACATGCAAAATGCACTTCGATGAAGAATTTTGCCATGGTGTCATGGGCGTCGAACCAAGTGTAATTTGTATATCCGCTTTTTATCGGTTTTATCGGCAAGTGATAACCATTTAACGTGTGCTGAATTGTACAGAATAGAATGCACCAGATGCAGGAGGAATATTGTATGGTGATTGTTCATAGAGCTGTTTCAATTGAAACATTGTACCAAGTGCATAGGGTTCCTATCCCATATAGCCTCCTGATGGGGTTGTCGTCGTTAGAACATTAACGCGCGCTGTTAACTTGATACTCGCACATATTTTGGCTATTCGGGGGCGGCAAAACAATAACACATTCATGTCGCATCACCTGGGCCACGCGGTCGATCGGGGCTGATCGTCTATCGTCGGCCACGCGATCACCACCTACTACAACTACCCCCATCGGAAAGTAGTCACTGCATTATGTCGTCGGCCGCGGAATTAGCCCATCACGCGTTGTTCTTTTGTCGGTAGCGGACGGCCGCTTTCGCTATACACCGCCTACTTCAGGTGCGAAAATATTCGGATAATCACGGACTCCGTGAACGGGTTCTTATAGTGTCGCGAGTGCCTTTTTTTTTTTGGTATTTTCGCTGTTGGTATTTCGGATTACGGTCGTATCGATTGTTTCGGCGCGGAAAAATGGTGGAAGTAAATGAGTAAACGGCGGTATGAAAAGAATTGATCCTGGTCGATGCTCGCTCGGCTGGTCTTTTCTATTATTGATGTGTGTGTCGCGGGGTAACACTCGTTTCACTACCTAATAAAAACATTTTGGCACAACAATTATAACGAAGCGACATTTTATTATTGTTAATTTCAATTTTTAAATGTTGTTATACAGGGCGCATGTGGGCGAAATATCGGCCGAAAATCCAGCGTCCATAATTAGAATATAGAAAATTGGTAAAATGTGGATAAAGGTAGATAATGAATTCAATGAATGAAGCATTTTCTTTAAAATTTTGCACTTATTCACTTTTACTTCACTCAATAGCGTAATCTGTAATGGACCGCGAAGACATTTCATTAATAGTAATATAAAATACTGGAAATATAAAAAAATGCTACAATGTGTTTAAATCGAACCATAATTAAACTCCACATTTTCAATTCTTGTTTCTGTGATATTTAATATTTCAATTCGGCTTCGATAAGAATATCACCAAAATTTAATTATTTAATCGATAAATAAATCTTACTAATACCTGGTGTCCCAGTAAGGGCAACCAAGTACAGTATTGGGGAAACTGATAGGAAGGGGCAGTTTATTTCCGTGGTCTGCCACATCTCCAGACCTTACTGTAATGGACTACCTTTGAGGTAGAATAAAATATATGGTTTATCAAACTTACCATATTAGCCCTGAAAATATGGTTGATCGTGTTCAAAATGTTGTAGCCTTTATACAGCAGTATTAAATACACGAGCAGGATAAATTCCTGAATAGAAAATGACAGGAGGCACTTTGAATTTGATTCAATCGATTTTCTTCTGCTTTATTGCGTTAGTTAAAGATACGAATGCGGTTTTCACTGGGTTCCTGGGCTCTTGTTTGGCTCTAATGACGTAAAAAAATTCATATCGTCGCATTTAGCTTCTTCTAAATTTTTTTTTTTGCCATCATGTCGGAAAATGCCTTCTGGTAGCAATCATCTCACGTTTAATAGCCTAGGAAAAGCCCTTTTCAACTACTCCAAGTTTATTAAAATCCATTAAGAAATTTTGGAGTTATCATATATTTATTTCTGTAAATATTGGAGGGAACCTCTCTTTTTCTCTCGATTTAGATTTTTTTTTCTAATTTTTAGGAACATCCGTTTCCCCAATACCGTACCCCATTGCCCTTACAGGAATACCCAATGTTTCTAATAGCAGAGCTAAAACTACTTATTTAAGCTAATTATTTTCTGCTTCAATGAGGGACATATTGGTGAAAGATAAAGACCTGAGTCATGAGTTCTCGCATTTTTCTTTAGTAGGAGAATTCTTTTGGTATAGTTGATATTTTTCGTCTTTCCGGATCTTTCCAATATATTCTTAGCAAATGCATGGAATATTGTAAACCAGTGTTTCAATTGGAAATTTGTCTTTGATGGATCGAAAATATTGAGAGATTTTTCGAAATGTGGTAAACATTGTATTTCTTAAGAACTCTGATATGGTCAACAAGTGGGAGGTTGCCCATTTTCTTTGGAAAGTTGTGGTAAAGTGTATTTTGTGATGGATGCTTGATATCTAATGTGGAAATTATTAGAGAGAAGAGCAGACGTCAAGGTGTTTTAATTCTGGGTTCAGTGACTTTGATAACCGATGATTACCCAAGAATATCTAAGAAATTAGTTTCTAATTCAATGGTAAGGTTAGAGTGTATTAAAGTTAATTGGTTAAGAAAATCTTGGAGGCATTCTTGGCCATGAGCCAATATATAATAATAAGTCAATTAATATCGTTTGAAAGTAAAAATGCGAGAAAATGACAACTTCTTATTTAAAATTCTGTACTGTATTAAATTAAAATTTTTTACACTACTATACATATTCTATATAGATTTCTTGAATTTACTTGTCACTACGCGGAGAGCCCCGCAGTTTTCAGAATTTTTATAATTATTATTGAAAAAGATTGATTTTTAACGTAACTCGTAATAAAATCACCCCACTTACATAAAATGTCAACTTTGAACTGACACAATTCTAAAAATATTCAGAATATAATATATATAAATTATAACAGCCAGATCCCCAGGTAATTAAACGCTATTGGGGTTCTTCTGAAATTCTCAAGTTGGTAGTTCTGATTTTTGACAGAGATTTCTCTCCCTGGGAATTCATTATTTTAAGGGAGACTTAAGAATAGTCTGTTTTTTCGAATAAGTAGCTATCCTAACTTGCTTCTTTTTCAAAATACTGGTTGTCAAAGCTTTTTTTAATTAATTATTGTAAAACGATTTAGCGAATTTTGGCAAGACTTGGTACGCTTTTTTGTCGTCATTAGAGTCTTAGAGGCGATCTATCTTTATGGATAAAATCGTCCTACGCTATTGATTTTTTGTATATTTAGATTTTCAGATCAAACAATAATATATTGTTTTATAAAAATTATTGCACACACTTTTTTCTATTAAACGGCGTTGGGGTTGAGTAAAAAAGAGGATTGTTGTATTCAAAATGTTTCTTGATATATTAACAATTTAGGCGTAAGTTTCAATTGACGCTTGCGCACAGTGAATGGCCTATTAGAAGTATCTGGATCAAGCGGAGGTGCTCCATCGTTCAAAAATGTTTTCAAGTATACAGTGCTGCCGCTTCTATGTAAATGTAGCGACATCTTTTCTGTTTCAAAAATACGTGCGGGAGTTCTAAAAACACGGTTTATACGGGGGATGCCATTTAACCTAAGCAAGATGTTGCCATGTTTACATAGTAGCGGCAACACTGTATACTTGAAATTATTTAGATAGAGCACCTCCTCTTACATCACCCTGTACAATTTACAGGTACTTCTAATAGGCCATCCACTGTGGGGCACCCGGTTTATGCAAATATATAACCGATTTGTATAATAAATAATACAATTGTCCAGCAATTTTCATCAAACAAATAAAATGAAAATGTTATTTAACCGTAACATATTAAACGGTTACATTAAAATCTTCTTAAAGAAATTTAAAAGTACTGGCTATTAGATGCACTGATAAAATTGAGAACTTTTGGAATGGACCGCGTACGTTAAGATTTTCGTTTTTAGTAGGACCAGAGACACGCGCAAAGTGATTATTGTAGCCGGAAGTCGAAAATGCCACCGCAAAACGCTAAAAATTACATACCGTTAGCGCAAAAGTTAAATATATACGTACGCTATAATAAAACATCCGAACTCATTTGCATCGCAACCTCGATCGCAAACGCTATCGGGCGAATCTACGTTGGCCACGGAAACGGAACGGCATATCCACAGTTCTGTTCCAATGGTTAAAGTGAAACAATTATGATAACCTTGTGACGAACGCGATCGATAAAATTGTCAGTAGGTTTTGGATTGTACCGGGTGCCCCTTTTATTATTGATCCTTGAACCTATGGATATATAATCAAGGAGGGAAAAGTATTGGTCGTTAAGACTTGGGATGAAGAAAGAAATTTATGACCAAAGCGACCAAGAGAAAATGTTGGAAATTATTTTTAAACTTCTAGAATGGCCGCCAGGAGGCGTAATCGCATTATTGAATTTTATGTCCCTTATTTCGAAAAATAATTTTGATCTATATCTTAAGGGAGTGTGTTGGGAAGTGTTCGAGCATTTTCGGAGTTGTTGAAAAGAGCTTTTCCTATACTATTAACTCAGCAGATTGATTTAGATGGCTTGCATCGCAACTATATCACATGAGGGTCAATCACGTTAGTGAAAACCTACCTGATAGCTATCATTCTTAAATCAAAATTTAGAAAAATATATAATGGTTTACTGTGAAAATACCAACATTATATTTATTATGTCAATAATAAATCCTCATTGAATGTTATAGATTATTGCCCATCTGCCCATTCGAAATTTTTAAAATCCAACTGTACTTTGGAAAGCAAAATAGCAAAAATGATAATGGCGGTGTTTAAGTGTCAGTAATATTAATATTGCAGCTATGGTATTTTGGTGACCTTTTCCGTTTGAAGTGAGAAGTGTTTGATATGTTTCGTATTTATTTTCAAAATCTATGCGATGGAGCATCCTTCATTAAGATGTGTTTTGACTATATTATTGTTTCTTATTATTGCAATATATTGTATTTTCAAATTCATTCATCATTATTGACATTTTAAAAATCAACAATTATAAAAATGGGGTGTTTCTATTTACATCCTTTAACGATTTTTTCTATAAAATTTGTAATATTAGTTTTTGATCAGTCTGAATTTTTTTATTTTTAAACTATCAACCCAGATCACTAAAGGGGAAATTAACCTCAAATGTATAACAAAGGCTTTTTATGTATATTAGTTATATAGTAAGTTAATATACAGGGCATTCTATTTAAAATAAGAAAATCTTTTGCCGTGAAGTCCAGGGCAACCAAGCCGGTATCAAAACAAAATAGACTCTTTTTAACGTTAAAAATTCAATATGGCGTACTCAAAAGATCATGGTCGCTGAAATACGAAACAGTGAGTTTCGTTAAGTCGGCATATTGTTATCCAATGATACTAGCAATGAAAATTGCTATTAAGTGTTATATTTTAGGTTATTGTGTGTGGCCATCTTGTCGACCTTCCATCCGGTAATTTGTTAATGTAATACATTTGATGAATTGAATTGAGAGGAATAATTTGAAAGACATTTACGGAAAACATGACATACTAATATGATTGTTCTGAAAATATGGCTGCTTGGGTCTTTGGACTTGTTCAATCGATATAAAATGTTTTCAATAAAGCAATGTTGTCAGTCTTATTGAAAAGCAGCAGCGAAATTGATATTTTATATAGGGCAAACTAATTACATTATCGCATTTTTGAATTAGTTACCATCCACCATCAATGGCGAAAGATTACTCTTTGTATTTTTGTTAATATTGAGGGGTTTGTCTTTAAAATAATTTGAAATTGTGAAAACTATTTTATGTATTTAAGAATACAAACAGAAAAAAATCAAAGAAATCAGAAACTTTTAAGCATAACAAACTGTCGGTAACTAGCATAAACAATTTGATATTTGATTACCCCGTGCGTAATAATAGACAAAATG